CAGATAAAAAACAAGAAGTTTACTTACAACAACATAATCAAATATTTCACCATCACGTTGATACTTTTCTAAAGTAGAATTAATCTAAAAAGAAAACTAATAAATTAAGGCACTCATCTGTTGATAAAGGTGTATAAATGTTACTGTTGTTTGTTGAATCGTTTTTGAAAACGACTTAAATTGTCTTTGAAATTGGTCATGATGATCATCAATACGATCAGATAATTTAGTAATGGCATCCACAAAATCTGAAAATATATGATTTGTTGATTGAATAAGTTTTACAAAAAGGTAAGGAAACGAGGATAATGATTAATATTAGATTATTCCTGTTTTGCCTGAAAGTAAAATAAATTTCATTTTAGACACCAGTTCATTCTACGTTTGCAGGAAAATAAAGAAAGGTACTCCTTACATTATCTAATAAAAAACTCCTATTAACATACCTGTACGTAATTGATTAAATTCTGATTGAAAGTTCCTCTATTGATGTACCATTTTTCTCTTAGCTGTTGCTTTAGAGTTATTATCAACAATCATTGCTAAAAGGGTGTGGATGTGGATGTACATCTTTTCTTTCACCTCACCCACACCCTACACACCCACATCCAACCCACACCCTCCACCAAATAGAAGAGAAGATGATTCTCTCATTAAATAAATACTATCAATATTCGAATTATTCCAAAATACTTCATTTCTGTGGATTTATCTGCATGAGTTATAGTCGTTTCACAGGATTTCAGATGTCTAACAGGTTTTTAAAAGAGAATATTTCGACTTTAATTTCTGTTCACAGAAAGATCTCATAATACTTCGAACGTACAACAAATATTTAGTAAAAATGAATTTTTCTGACATAAAAGCGTTCAAGAATAAAAAGAAAAAATGAAAAAGAGATAGAATATGTTTTAAGTATAAGTTCGAGTATAGTGGAAGAATTATAACACTTTTCTATAAAAAAAAGAAATTCATGTCAAACTATTGTCCTCGATAATTCTTTTAATATGTCGTAAGAAATTGAAAACTTACGAGGAAACATTCTCAAGTGACTCGCTCGGTTTAATTTCATATTATGCCCATATGTAGGGAATCATTAGATTAGAATAGCAGCCATAGAGTTCGTGATTTTATTAAGATCTAGCCAAGATATCAAAGTTTTAGTGAATTTTTCCTATAGGAGGTTAGTTTTGTAAAGTTTCATCAATTTTAGACATTGCATCTCCGAGATATGTGCCGTTCAAAAAGCCTACGTTTTACAATATATCAATAGAAGTGTCTTGTTTTGAAAAATTTATATTTCAAAATGTAACATCTAAAAATGATGAAACTTTATATATGAGATAGTCTTAGCAAGACCTTCATGTTGCTAAAGTTTCAGGTTGAAATTCGAAGATATGATTTTGCTCCAAAATTAACCTATTATAAGAATAATGCACTAAAACTTCTATATCTTAGCGAAATCTCAATAAGAGCACAAACCATCTGGAGGCTATTCTAGTCGAATGGTTTCATACATATGGGCATAATATGAAGGTAAAATGGAGCGAATCACTTGGAAATGTCCGTTCATCAGTACAATTGCTATACTATGAACAGAAAAATCCATGAAGATAAGCGAAATTGAACCTTTTCTAGTATCGATAGAATTTGCTCATTAAGAGAAGTTTCACACTAACGAGGGAACCGCTCAAGGTGTTCAACGCCGATTCTCTTCTTTCATGCGTCGTTTGATAGAGGGCATTGAGATAGTAGAAAGCCTAAAAGGATTTGGACTGAGAGCTCTTTCTTGAAAACTTAGAGCCAATTTTCTGTTTTTCGCAACCAAAATGGCCAAAAATTGAAAACCTTACAACTCAGTCAAAAAGACCTTATATACTTGAAGTTTTCAGCAGTACAAGCTAACTCGTGCTGCTGATCAATCTGAAAATTTTAGATTATTTGGTCGTCTCATTCTTCACTTACAGGATTTTTGTTTATCATTCAAAAACAGGAGTTCTGTAGCCTCAAGAAACCTGATTTTTTTGTGAAAGTTTCGAAAGTAAAGAGACTCAATGTTGTGTGAGGTATTTCGCAACCCATCCAAGAATGAACGTCGTCTCCGATCTGCTACGTAGAGATCTCCCACATTAGAAAGATACTTTCTTTATCAAAAATCTTTTACAAACAAAATCATAGCACAAAAACTATTTACAAACTATTTATCTTGATTATACTGTTAACAGAAATCAAAGAAAACGAACGAGAGCAAGCTTACAATAAAGACAAAATCTCAATGTTTGTGATAACTGTCATAGAAATGCAAGAAGCACATAAGCTTTGAATAAAAACCACACTTTACAAATGATGCAGAGATGTGGGTGTGGACTGTTAATGTAGAGAAGACCCACACCCCATTCACACTCACACTCCCCCACACCTACAACCCACACTCACACCCCACACACCCACACCCACACCCTCGTATAGTAATACTTCAAGCGTATGGAAAACTAAACATTCTTTTGATCCATATTCGGAGAACTAAGACTTGAATAAAGTCATTGAATCTGCACTTCAGAGCGGATGGTAGAATACCTAAGTGCTGCAAACGGAAGAACAAGCACCAGCATCGAGGCTGGTTCTCTACTGCTTTTTACAGCACTAATCATAAAACTAAAGCCTCAAAGGCTTCGCACGACGCCACACCATCACTGTTGAGCGCCTTAGGTGATCCTGTAGGAGAGCCAATGAAGACTCACTGGCAGCATACAGGATAGCCATTGAAGATCCAAAGGTATACTCTCTATTACAGTCCTTGAGGATCTAAGGACACCCGACTAAGACACCCCTGGAAGACCCAAGAGTACTCCGTATTGTACCTCTGAAAGGCTCAAGGGTACTCCCGTAAAGTAACCCTGGAGAATCTAAGGGTACCTTCTATAGTACACCTGGAGGGTCCAAGGGAGCAGGTTTTACAATAGCATAGACTCCAGAAGTCGAGAGAAAAGCGGAGCCCAGTGGGGTCCCTCGGAGTCCCGGAATTTGCTGTTTCTTCCTTGCCAGTAGTATACACAGTAGTAGTTTAAAACCATGTGTTAAATATGCTGTTGCTATTAATTAGTAATAACAATTCTTTTGTGTCTCACATTTTAACCTCATACGGATTGTGCTAACAACTTTTTATTCTTTGAAATAGATTAATGCAAATTAAAAATTTCTAATAATTTTGATAATAAAGGAAAAGATAATAAGAAAAATTGTGTAAACATGAAAACTTGTTCGTTTTATGCAGAAAAATTTGCCGTAATCAAAGTAAAATATGAGCGAAATTGAAGATAAACATCAGCAATTAGTCAAGATTAACATATCAAAAAGAAACGATGATAAATTGAAAAATTGATTACAAATTCAAGTTATTCAACTTTTATCTGCAACCAGATCATCTTCTGGTACCTTGAAGGTTTAATTATAAGCTAAATAGATTGGCTTCCTCCTTTTAGTTTCGATAACCAAGACATAAATGAAACAGTTTGCAAACTTCAATTTAAAAATATTTTTCTCACCTACGAAACTTTGGCTGAATCCATGGATATCCAACCACATTTTGGGAAAGTGTTTTTTAATGAATTTTATGCACTGATTCAACGGAAGATGGACAAAACTGGCTTTGGTCGGAAAAAATTGTGACTTCTATCTAAAATACTGGAGATTTGCATCGTTTTTTGGAATATCTAAGTAGTGTCATATGCGTTATTACAATCTTTAAGGCTCAAATTTTACCCAATGATACCGAACCATTAGACTAGAATAATCTCCAAAGGCTTCTTTTTTTCAATGTATTATGACCAAGATATAAGATTTTAAAGAAGCACGACTTTTGCATAACTTTGCCCAAAAACACATTTTTTTACAGCGCGCGCGTAGTATTAGAATTTCATAAAAGTCTTGTATCTTGGTCATAAAACAATGAAAAAGGAATCCTTTAGAAGTTATGCTAGTCTAATGATACTGTATCGTTGGGCAAAATATGAACCTTAAACGTTGTAATAATGTGTATGACAGCCCTTAGATGCTCCTAAAAAAGGATACAAATCTTCATTATTTTAGATAGAAGTCACAATTTTTTTTCTGTAAAAACTATTTTCTGCCCTCCCCTTTTCATCGAATCACCATATAAAATTTGATGAAAAACACTTTTTCCAAAAAAGTACTTGGATGTCCATGAATTCGCCTATATGTTAACTTCCTGTTCTAGTGCTTCACATGTAGTATAAAAAAAGAACAATACATTTATGATTATAAAGTTCCATATAGTGAGACGATCATTAAATGCACTCTCAATAGAATGTAGAGTCTAAATGTTAATTGAGGAAAACTTTTTCTTTTCTTCATTTATTTGTTAGTTATTACTTTTGGGGTCAATTTCATGTATTATGATGTATTAATTGAAACATTTGCTTTAATGCATTCACAGTCATGAAAATCGAAATGTAACTAAGAGCTTACATTTATATTAGGAAACTGAAAAATGAACATAATTAATGATAAAGCTCGTGAAAACAAATATACTTTCCAAAAACATGGTTCTTCGATAGAGCGAAATGATTCATGATTGAATTAGTATAGATACCGTTGAGGAAAATCAGGAAAATGATTCCAATAACAAACATCCAACATTGAACCCTTAGAAATTGTTATATATACAGAAGATGACATCAAGTAAACGTACGACGCGACATATAACTTGCTTAAAACTTTTCAAAATACGAAAATATGCTATAAATGTGTTCCTAATTTCCTATCATTAGACAAGGTTTTCTAAATCAATCAATCTCAATATTAACATCTAACTCACTTTACTGATAAAAAGCATATTCTATCAAATTATTTGTAATACGAGATATAGCTTCATAAACTGCTCGAAAAAATAGCTGATTTATTATAGAATGAACGTTACAAAATAAACATTATATAGATAGGCTTGTATATATAACTATCGTTTTATATATTGATCGAGTTCATTTGTCAACAGGAAATTTGCTGAATAAGTCTCGAAGTTTATCAATTGGAGCTGTTAGAAGACCAACAACTGTTTCAAAAGGCGGCTTGTCAGGCGCATTCGGGTGAGATCTATATAAGTATGATAGATGCATAGCAAAGGACGATGAGAGAGAAAACAATATACCGCGTAGGAACGAACATTTTGGTTCGTTCGTATGATCGAGCAAGTGAATCACTTTGTTCAGGTGTGATTGCATTTTCAAGTTTAGGATAATCGTTTTGTTCTTCACTGTATGCAGAAAAGAAAGATTAAAAGAAAGAAAAGAAAAATGGATGTATCTCTACCCCGTAATATGTGATGTTAAAAATCCTACAAGTTTGTCGAATGTCACACGATAACTTGGATCGGACACCGATATTGTTTCGAGCTTTTTCAAGAGCTCTTTGAGCTATTTAAAATGAGAACAAAGCTTGTGAAAAGCACAAAAAACAGGATTTACTTCTTGATGTTCAGCACGATCTTGATGTGCTATTTGCTTTCCCTCGGCACCCAAATACTTTTCAAAAGCTGGATAGACAACGAGTTCTTCGGCTACACTATGTCGAGCAAGTCCCCATCGGAATTCATTACTCCAACGTTTTTGTTCGTCAAGATTGCCTTCCGCTAAGACATAATTCTAAAATTTGGAAAATCAATATCATTTTAACTTAGAATAATTTTGAAAGATCAAACCTGATAGGCTTGCTTTACATCAGCATGATCAATTTTGACCAATGTAGAAATCGATTGAAGCGTGCTCATCTTAGTAGCGTCAATAGTAAGACAAAATAGTAATTGACGTAAAAGACACTGAGAAAATAAAGACTATATTCCTTCTCCAAATAGAATATGAATAAATATGATGAAATATTTTTTTTTATCTCGTCGTATTTTTACTCGTTTTACGCACGTGTAGAGAAAAAAATCTGATCGCAAAGTACGTTTTATTCAGCTTATGGCTAAAACTAGAAAGAAGTTATGCAAGAATGATGTTTGTTTCGATAAAAATTAGTTATAGTTGCTTTTTTATTTTATTTTAATAAATTGATATTTTTTATTATTATAGATGGACGTTCATGATCGTCAAACAAATATTATAATTGAGACTTTCAAGAAGAAAATTTTGTCTTTGAACAATCGTGGTTCTTCTTTGAGTTTTTCTATAACATGCTTCTTCAGATCGATTTTTATTGTCTAGAAAGAATCTATCGAACTGATTGAAAACAACCATATTCTTCGTTGGCAAATTTTAATTTTTCTCATGATCCTCCAGCAATGAATTTCCCTTCATGAAACTGTTATCATAGTAAACACACATTCGAAACATTTTCGTTCTTTTTTTTTTTTGTTCTCTTAACGCTAGAACGCGGTAAGAGAGTAATCAGTACAATCGACTGGTTGGCTTTTTTTTCTGTCTCACTACTGTAAGAAAAGAACAGAACGAGAAAAGAATGTTTTGCTTGCATACGTCTGTATCAATATATTCTATCAAGTTGATCGTAGTCTGAAGAAGAAAATATCGTTGTCAAAGCATGACAAGAAAAAGTTTGAAATTTTCTAGGGGAAGAGTGTTATCATTACTAACTTCATTCTGATCTGGTAATGGACGGTAAAGAAATCAGACGAGTAGAAAACTAAATAGATCATTCATAGAATTCACTGCTTTTCATTATGACCTAAGAGTTCGAATTGATTGTATATTTCACTCTGTTGAATTGAAAATTGACATGTTTCAGAGCGTTCGCCTATCAATTGATGTAGGTACAGACGATGTTCCCAATTTGAACAAGTTCTTTAGAGATATCAAGAGTCTCCTTTCTTATTAAGAAATTTCTCGATCAATCTATGCATTTATGTATATCCCTGCGTGCAAAAGTGTCTATCAAGTCAAATAAAATAAAAATGATTAGAGTAATCAGCGACGATTGGCGAATAATTAAGTTTTTCCTAATTAGAAGCCCTATTCTTAATATGAGGGGCAAGCAATGAATAAGCTACACTACTGATTAAAAGTATCTCCCCCCCAGATCTTAGTTTCTATGAGAGTTAAACATTCGAAAATTGTTCTGCAGGTAGCTCATAAATAATGTAGGTCAGCGATAACATCAGTACCAAAATCATTCTAGGTAGAACAGAGATATAAAAAGTGACATCCATGATCACTATATGACTGTAACATGGTGCTGAAAGATCAATAATTACTCATATATTACCTTAAAAACAAACAATAAAGTAGTAAACCTATTTTTTGAACTATTTTCTCCCAAATAAAGCAATCATGTTCATTTGTCAAGACTTTACAGGAAAAATCATTTCGAATAGTTCGAAGTTTTTAAGAAAAAATAAAACTCAGCTGCCTTCGTCGAAGCACGCATTATTAGGACTGAAGTTGCGTAAAATTATACTAAAAACTGCATCAGACAATTGAAAGCGTGAAAATCTCTAGTAAATGTTCTCTAAAGTCTTAAAAACATGAACTTTCTATAACATGATACCAAGTGGATTCTTATATACTATTATTTGCTATAAAACTCCGGCGAATAACTATATGGAAATCTAGTAACGCGATGATTTCTTTTCTTCTATAAAACTTTAAAGCCATTCAAAGCGATCTTCTGAACTGAATCTGGACAAATGAGGACGATTGCTCAATTTAGGAGAACCCATGTGATTCGAATCGAATACAAACCGGCGGTTTATCATCAATAAACAATCTATTTTAATCTATTATTTTATGGAATTTAATCAAAATGTACTGTATTAAATCGAATTTTTCCGATTTATATGGAAAAATCAATTTTAATCTGATTTTTTGATTGTTGTTCTTACACATGGATATGCTACTCAAATATTACTCATTGTCTTGGCAACTATTGAAAAGCATATACTTATTTTTAATAATCGATGGGTTTCAACAAATATCAAACGTTCGTTCGTTCATTACCTACCATTATTTATGGATATTCATCTATTGTTTTTTCACACTATATTGTAATTATTTTTGGTGCATTCTATGAAGATTCATTGTATAATGCTACATATGAAGTTTTTTTCAATTCTTGTGCGTTGAATAACGTTATTTTCCGAGTGTGGAAACGTTTAGTTCATCAAATTACTTCAAATTTCACCATTATCATCTTCAATGTTTCTCGTCCAATTCATTGTCTATGGCGAAAAATGACTATTCAATTGTTATCTACTTCTATGCTTTATTTGATTTGCAAAAGTCCATGGACAACATTAATCTTTGCTGTTCAAAATGGTTTACCACAGGATGAAGTGGCAATACTTTTACATTGGACATTTATGCTTCGAGATTATATTACATATTTATATCCACGTATATGCTTGGCTTCATTATCAGAATTTCGTACAACTAGTTGTTCTTTAAATAGCCACCAGAAAAACAACTAGAATAAATGAACAAACGAACAAAACGAATCATGTTACCCATCAAGAGTAATTTTATTATGTACCCGCAATAAAATATTACTAGAAATAATACATGCTTTAGAAAAATAATTGATGAAAAAAAAAAGATAGAATGCATCTGTTTATTATAATCAGATATGACATTTATGGTATTGAAACAAGAAATATTTGGTATGAAAATAACAAGCCGTCTGAGACTTGTTCAGTACGGTAGTCTCCAAGAACAAAAAAAGCTTAACCATTCGAATTATCAACAAATGATTTGAACATATACGGTAAGCGCTATAAGTGGACCCGCGCTCTTCTTGATATTGAACAATGACCTTTGTTTTATCTTTTTGCTTTGTCTGGAAGGACTATTTATAGTTATCATCGCATATAAATAGGAGCATTTATATACCTTCTGTTATCAATTTATAACTTAATAAAAGAATAGGGAGTGTCGGCTTAGTATTAGCATTGGCATTAATTAATACTAATTCTACAAACGCCACGCCTAGGGACAGCAAGAAGGAGCAAAAGTGTTGGAACAAAAAAGATGCGCAAGGCGTACCTGCATATGATAGTTGTGATCATTTTGTTATAATATACCTTTATGCATATAATAATTGAGAAATATGAATTTTAACACCCAAAACAAATGATATAATGCATTTCTTGCAAAATATGTTCCATTATTATCTATTAAAATGAAAATTTTAATGCAGTCATTCTATGCAGATACGCCTTGCGCATCTTTTTTTGTTTCAACACTTTTGCTCCATCTTGCTGCCCCTAGGCGTGGCGTTTGTAGAATTAGTATTAATTAATGCCAATGCTAATACTAAGCCGACACCGCCTATTCTTTTATTAAGTTATAAATTGATAACAGAAGGTATATAAATGCTCCTATTTATATGCGATGATAACTATAAATAGTCCTTTCAGACAAAGCAAAAAGATAAAACAAAGGTCATTGTTCAATATCAAAAAGAGCGCGGATCCACTTATGGCGCTTACTGTATATTCTTAGTATATTTTCATTTCTCCCTATGATCAGATACAACACAAGAGAATGGATTTGCACGCTTTGTGCTATAATTTTCAACGTTTTAGCAATAAATAGAGGCATCGTAGAAGTGAATCACTACTCATGTTTTCCAGAGGATGGTCCAAACGAATAAGAATCTCTGATTACGATAGTTAGACAAGATTAATTTGATAATAGAGGATAATGTCGAACAGCCGCTATCGATTAGCTATAATGACAAAGGAATCAGAAAAAACTTGCAAATTTGTTTCTTCCTTCATTTGTTCTAATTGACTGTACAAACTCGAATTAAAAGTGTACACGATAATTGAAACTACAAAACGTAAACAGGTTTTACTTTTCGATGAATATCTTTACGCAGGTGATTAACTTGAAAACATCAATACTTACTAGTATTGGAGAATCCGAAATGAGTACTTGGGAAGCGTCAAACAAATACCTATTTTAATTGTACAATATAATTATGAACCTAATGAACAGGGTGTGTATGGGTATGGGAGAGCATGTGCATCTACCACATGTGTTTATACCCTGCCAGGCGTCATCAGATAGTTATCTAATAGGAAGGGTGTGGGTGTGTGTGGAGACGTTGATGAGACGGAGATCCGCACCTACACCCACGCCTTCGTATACGAACTGTAAACAGCTCCATACGGTTTACTGACAGTACTTTCACGACTATAAATACTCAAATGCGAACCCTTTAGATTCCATAATTTATCGTAAACTTGATTCATAATTTATGTTCGTATTTATGCTATGCAATATACAGCATGTTACGACTAGAATAAAATTGAGGATGTGGATGTGAGGTAGAGATCGTACTATATGTTTTATTGTATAACTTTTATTTTGTTACTCTAGTCGTCGATAAAACTTTTATGTTCAACTGTACTATAGAATCTTTCAAAGAAATGCTCATGTTCTTTTTATAACCTTGACCAACATGTTCATCCTCGCTTAATAAAAGAAACTCCGTAACATTTAAGTACTTCTCGTTTCGTATGCTTTTATTGCAGAATAAAATAATTAAAATTGTCACTGACATTTTAATGAAGAATTCTTACACAATCATCTTTGCCCAGTAATAAAACGATAATTTTCCAAGGAAATGCACATAATTGAATATTAATAGTTAAATTAAGAATTCTCTTTGTTCGATGATGTTCTAATTGAATTTGTCGATTGTCACAATCTAGTATGAATGTCACTTCATCTCCTGTTCGAATAATTTTAGTTGAATCATATTTATGTTTTTTACCACTTATAACATTATAGATAAGATCCCACCAACCATAGA